TCATAAAAAGCGCCCCCCAAAACCTAATAGTCGACCCATATATCGATAAAATCAGAAAAGTTACGATAAGTCGGTGCCCGGGGGGGGAGAGGGGGTCACACCTAAAATCCGACATTATTTTCATAAAAAGCGCCCCCCAAAACCTAATAGTCGACTCTAAGACCAATGAAATCTGAAGAATTAGCTATTAGCTTTTAGCTGAAGATACAGATAAAGATAATTAGCGGTTAGCGGTAAGAACAGCTAAAAGTTAACTTGCGCTAAAAGTTAGCGGCTTGGTCCGGCTAATAGCTAATTTAGTTGCAGAATTATCTGCCCGCTAATAGCTAATTTAGCTGTTATCTGTTATCTGTTAGCTATAGATAATTTTTGCCCAACACTGACCTTAAATACATTTACTGTACTTTAATAATTCTAGATCTAATATTATATTTAAATAATTAGCTATCAATCGTTCGTTTATTCGGAAAAATCATGTTGTAAACTTTTAGAAAATTAAATTAGTGAATAGTTTGATGAATTTTCTCTATTTGGTATAATGACAAATAAAAAAATAAAAAACACTAACATAGAGTTTGTGCATTTTCTAAACGCACCTTAACATTTTACCTATGACAGTTTTTAAGAAAAAAGTTCTTTTTTTTTATAATAAAGTTCTAGATTTCTGGTAAAAAATTCAACTTTTATTTATTTAAGCCCTTAAAAAAGTGAAATAAAATTAGAAATAAACAGTAACGAGATTTAATTTTGAGTTATTTATTTTACCTGAATTTCGTAATTTCAATTGTCTTGTTTGAGTAGCTATGAATAAATGTAATTTAAGGCGAAATCAACAGAGCTTTTAAATTAAAGTTTTGTAAAATCTTTATACTTGAAAAGTGGCTAGGGAAGAAGTTCTAGTTTCGAAAAAACAGAAAAAAAAATTAAAATAAATACTGCAGTCATACAGAAACTATCAAATAAGTTCAAATTCATTGAACACCCTAGTTTTACCAATATTAATTTATTGTTTCGGACATGATTGGTTTCATAATTCGTTACATAATGTTCTAAAAAGAGAATAATAATTGTTAAAATAGTGAAACCGTGACGAAATTAGTAGAAAGGTGTTGATGTATTTTTTCCGGCATCAGCTGTTAGTTTGTTAAGACCTATCAAACTGTTACCTTCCCATTCGTGTGGTCCAGAATGGTGCAATTCGACGCATAGATTTTGAAGCTGTAACAGATGAAATAAACCGATTGGTATGTTCTATAATGCTTAAAAAATATAAAGAATTATAATGCTCTGTTGTTCTCACTTCCCTTAACTGTTCAAGATTCTAATTATATCAAATAACTGCCTTATTTTCTAGTTTTCATATTTCTATTTATATTGTTTTTGACTGTTTGTATTTTTTTTTTTTCCTTTCTCTGAGATGTAGAAACTTATATGACATCACTTGATATTATAATTATAACTCTTAAATGTTAGTGTTCATGACTAAACAAAAATCAACATTTATTGTATTTTTTAAATTACATTTCAGTAGCTCAATTTAAGGATATACTTTCATTTTTCATCCTTTTAACTTAACATATGTGATTTTTGTAGCATGAAATAAATAATATTTTACTTTTGAGATTCATAGCAGTCCGATATTTATAATTATGCTTATTATAAGTCAAACATAACACTAAATAATTCTAAAACCAGTCAAATCCATTATTCGAAATTGTATTTAAATTGTTGTGCTATATTTTTATAATGTCTAAGGATTTCTTTCTGCTGGTTGCCTGAATTTTACTCTTAAATATTTTTTTGTATTCTTTGAGTAAGATTTTATTTTTTCTTTCTGCTGTTTAATATAATTTTTAAGGTTAGCATTATAAGATACAAGCTGTTAACTTTGGCTTCGCCTGCAAATATATCTTTTTCATCATATGAATAAAATGTACCCTGATAGGAATCTAAAATTTATGATAACTATACTGCCTATGAAAACTTGAGTTAAGTTGATAAGATATCAAAATTAAACATTTTTGCTAATCACCCACTTGGGTTTATGTGGAGTGTTATAAAATAAGTAAATAATAAATCAATATTTTATATATTGTTTTCAATTATATTTTAATCTCTTAAATTGAGAATATACTTCAATTTTTCATCATTTCAACTTAACATACATAATTTTTGTTGCATGAAATAAATAATACTTTATTTTTAAAATTCATAGCAGTCTGATCTTTATAATTATGCTTATCATTAGTTAAAAATAACACTAAGGAATTCTAAAACCAATCAAATCCATTATTCAAAATTTTATTTAAACTGTTGTGCTATATTTTTATATCAAAAGATTTCTTATCGCTGGTTATCTAAATTTTACTCGTAAACATTTTTTTTGTATTCTTTCTTTGAGTAAGATTTAATTTTTTCTAATATAATTTTTAATGTTATTGTTATAAGATACAAGCTTTTCACTATGGCTTTGCGTGCAAATATATTTTTTTCTCCATAAGAATAAAATATACCCTGATAGGGATCTTAAATTTATAATAACTATAGTGCCTATGAAAACTTGAGTTGTGTTAATAAGATATCAAAATTCAACATTTTTGCTAATCACCCACTCGGATTGATGTGGAATGTTATAAAATAAATAAATAAATAATAAAAATTTTATATATTGTTTTCAATTATATTTGAATCACTTAAATTGAGGATTTACTTTAATTTTCTGTGCCTTAAGCTTAACATATGTAAATTTTAAAGCATCAAATTAATATTTGAATAAGGTATGCATCAAATTAATATTTGAATAAATCCATTTTCAATGTTTTTTTAAACAGTTGTTATATTTTCACGATGTGAAAGGATTTCATATTGTTAGTTATCCAAATTTTACTCTTAAATATATTTTTTATTCTTTCCTTTATCATTACTAAATGACTCATTAAGGTTTTGTTATTTAATTTTTCTTTTTACATTGTAACTTAAAATTTATGTCTTAACAATGTAAGATACCCATGTCTTCGCTTGCTAAAATCTAATCTCTCGCTAATATCTCTTCAGCCATAATTTAATTTACTCTGATTGGGTTCTTAAGTTTAAGAACAAATAAAATGTCTGTAAAAAGTTGAGTTATGCAAATAAATTATTAAAATTCAGCATTTCCTCTTATCACAGACTTGGTTGGATGCAAAGTATTATAAAAAATAAAATAATAAAAATCAACATTTTATATATTGTTTTAAATTACATTTGAATTTCTTAAATTAAATATCTACTTTTATTTTTCATCCCTTCAGCTTAGCATATGTAATTTTTGATGAATCAAATTAATTTTTCTATACTTTCAAAATATGTAGCAGTACAATTTTAATAATTATGATTTTTATTGATCCACAATAACACTTAAAGCAATTATAAAAGCATTCAAATCTATTTTTTAAACTGTTGCACTATATTTTTACAATGATAAAGAATTTCACATTGATAGTTATTTAAATTTTATTCTTAAAGTGTTATATTTTTTATTCTTTCTTTTTTGTTTATGATTCGTAAGATTTCATTTCAAACATTTTCTTTCTGTATTTTAACTTAAAATTTAAGGCCTACCAAGACATCTGTGGCTTCTTTTCTGTTTTAATAATTAAACTTACCTTGATAAGAATCTTATTTTATGATAAGGGTAATTATAGCGTATATAAAAACTTGAGTTGCCTGGATTTTTTAATTTCATCTGAATTGATGTTTGATCGAAATTAAACTATGCTGTATTATTGCTAATATTGTTCAAATTTAGATAATTTTTCTCGATAAGGGCAAACTCTGGTCCACAAAAATATGACTGCCTCTTTCTTTTTCATTGTTTCTTTTTTCCTCCGACCACTTCTACATACCTCACTGGATGTATTCAATTTGGCTATTTCATTCTTAATCTGTTTCTGATAATCTTTTATGCTGTTGATAAGTATGCTGTGTCTGTGGCAACCCTATCTGATTGGGCAGCACCCTTTTATGAAAATTAAGTGATTCTCCCTGATTTCTAACATTAACTTACCTCTATAAGGTTTACAGCTGTTTTATAAACCGAAAGGACTCTATTAAAATTGTAATAATAATCAAAATATTTTATCATGTTTTGTATTTATTAAACATTTTTATTGTTTGATATATTTATGTGTTTTTGATACTTATCGCCAACTATTAAATATAATGAAAAAATTGATTATAATGGAATAGTTAAATATTATTACCTACTGGATTTTTAATTATCTCCCAGAACCAGCTTAATCCAAAAAGTTTTGTGCTGCCAGATGTATGGAAATTCAATTTTTGCCTTAATTGTTTGTATTAATACATATGGACCGGTTTTTTTTATAGTGGCAGTAATAAAAAGTAAAACAATATAACGTAAAGCCGGTTTACATTTCTTTAGTTTATGAAATAAATCGTACTCAAATCTTTTTTTTGATCAATTTTCAGGAAAATAAATCTAATTCAATTTTTTTTTTCTTAATGAACGTGTGTAAAGATATAAAAACTTGTCTGAAATAGGTAGGAAAAGTCATGTGAGTGGACACACCAGATTTTTTTTTACATCTCTCATAACTTTGTAAGGCGTATTATTGGACTTAAATATCCAAAGCTATCCATAAGAGTTGTAGGAAATCCACCATTATTCGCTTGATCCTTCAATCATTTACTTATCACACTATAATTTTAATTGCATTAATTGAATATTATTGATGTAGAGATGGTTGACCGTGATATAATATGAGAAGGATTTGGTCGGGGCCTACTGTCAAGTATTTTTAAGATTTCATATTTATTTGACCGCACCTCCCGACCAACTCCTTCTCATATTATTATTATTATGTTGATCAAACAATTGATATTAAGTACTTTCTTAAGTGGCTCTCTATTCTCTTATTTAACTTTCAATTATGTTGTTATGCCAATTGCATTGTTACTTTAATCTCAAGTATCTTTTTAATTTATGTAAACAATTTTCTAGATTATCTCAATTATGGACCACAATGAGTCTCCATTAGAGAACCTGTATCAGGCTCTAGTTGAAAGTTTCGGAGTTATATTATGTGGGTAAGTAAATTTAAAGATTATTATTATTTTTTTTTAAACCTCCTTAAACTTTATTCGGAATTCTGAATCTATAAAAGATTAATTTTTTTTTTAGGTACATTGCCGGTCGCTTAGGGGTGGTAACCGAACAACAATCAACTGGACTTTCAACATTTGTCGGGACTTTCTCGTTACCATCTCTAATTTTTTTATCATTGGCTACACTTGACTTGTCGTCAGTATGCTGGTTATTTCTATTATCAATTTTCCTTGCGAAGGCGGTCGTCTTTGTGTCTGTTCTTTTGATAACGCTACTTGTAACTAGACCAATTGATCCTGCTAAAGCTGGTCTTTATGCAATATTCTGTACACAAAGCAATGATTTTGCGATTGGATTTCCTATCGGTTAGTATTCAATATAATACTCTCTTTTATAATAAACTTAATTTGTGTTATAAGATTAAATAAAGTCTGTATAAATTCAATTGAATTCTAATAAACATCAATTTATTGGTTCATTTAAGTAGCCAACTATTTATAAAATAATTTAATTATTATTGCTAGTATATTTTCATTTCTCAACTAAGTTGGTTTGTAATTAAAATTCAGTTGTTTCGTGAAAAACTCGCATTAATGCTCTAGCTTCACTTCAAAGCCCTAGTGTCTTATTTGTGTTATTATTTTTGCTCATTGTAATATTTAAAAAGATATCAAATTGAAAATCATTAGACAAATAATATAAAAAATTATAAACAGTACATTTTTAAATTGTAATTTATATGAAGAGAAGTTGATTAAGATTTTCAGTCAAAATATAATGCAAAAATAAATAAATTATATTTATTTTTATTTCCTTTTTGCTGACGTTTGGACCTAACCATAGATCATTCATCTGAAATTTTTGCATCGAGCACACTGATGAAGGCCTGAAACTTAGGCTGAAAAGTTAACACAAAGGAAATAATAATAAATATAATGATGTAGAGATGGTTGACCGTGATATAATATGAGAAGGAGTTGATCGGGGGGAGGGGGGGGGGGAGGGGGAGGGGGAGTAAGGGGGGAGAGTGGGTGTGGTCAAATAAATACTAAATTATAGAAATAGTATTATTTAATTATTATGCCGACGTTTCGACCCACTTTGCAGGTCTTCAACAGGGCGTGGGATGTGGCACTGCTGGAGGCAGTTAAAATACTGGTGTGTGTTTCAACTGCCTCCCGCAGTGCCAGATCCCATGCCCTAATGAAGACCTGCAAGGTGGGTCGAAATGTCGGCATAATAATTAAATAATACTATTTCTATAATTTAGTATTTATTTGATCGCACCTCCCGATCAACTTTCCTCAAAAAATAAATATAATTTTTTTATTTTTACTTTGTATTTTAACTGAACACCTCAATCAACTTCTCTTCAATTATTTTCTACAGTCAACCATCAATCGACTATCATTTAATTTGTATAATTTTTTAAAAAAAACTTTTTCATAGTAAATGTTAATTATTTTGTTTTTTCCTTGTTAATGATTAAATTGGATGAAAATGATTGTATTAATAGTTTAATACAAAAAGGAAATTTAAAAGTTTTTGATTGAAATTAAACAAATTAATATTTAAGTATAAGTATTCATTTTTATTCATTGGTTGACTGATAAAGTCTAATCAATCTCTGATATTTTCAGTGTTGTCTGTGTATGGAAAAAATCATCCGTTTTTGAGTTATGTCTGGCTCCTTGCACCTATAAACCTTGTGATGTTGAATCCGTTGGGGTTCATTCTGATGGAACTCGGACAGAGAAAGGGAGAAGGGACGTCAACGTTAAAAGTTGCAACTAGTGTTTTAACAAATATCGTGACCAATCCGGTAGTCTTTATGACAACTTTGGGTATAATTGGCAACTTGGTTTTCAACCACAATCTACCGACTGTTTTGCAGAGTCTTCTAAGTGTAAGTGTTAACTTTTGCTATTGAGTCCTTACATGAATATTCTATTTTTATTTGTCGATGAATATTAGGTCATACAAATAAAAGCACAAAAAGTTCTGATTGTAGACCTTTTTGAGAAGATAATAAGCATTAAACCAAAGAGGTTGGAATGGATTTACATGAGTGTAAAGATGTGGCTACATCAGGAACTGCTATTACCTAGTTCATACCATTGAATATCTTATACTTATTAGTTTTAATAGTGTTTCCAGCTTATTTTTTTTTCATACATATTTTTATTTTCTCAATAATGTTTTAATCTGAGAGCCCATTAGAAAAAAATCAACAATATTTGATGAAAACTTTTAAAGCATTTTTTTAAGTGTTTATATTATATAATGTTATAAATTATATACTAAGTTATATATATTGTATGACATTTTTTTATACTATATAACATTTATATACATGTTGCTATATGTAAAAATGGCAGCTGATTTAATGAATATTAGACCAATAATTCAAGGATCGAAATAGTAAAATCATTGCAAAAAGTTTTTGTTTTTTTGACTTATATATATATATATTGATTGATACATGTAAAAGACAAAATTGCTAACGCGGCCCACCAAGGTAAACATTTTTACAGCCAAAAAAGTCAGATTATTTTGATCTTTTTTTGTTTTTTTCATCTATAAATCCTAAATAGTGCATTAAAGCAAAAAAATCTTCTTTAAGAAATAAAAATCGTTAAATTATATGTCGAACATGTACCTAAACTTAATAATTTGGTCAAGTGGCATGGTCGATAACCACGGCCAATGAACACTGGTTTTTACCAAATTCGTCCAAAATTGAGAGAATTTACTAATAATGACCCTGCATCTTGGGAATAAGTTCTAAAATAAAAACAACTCATAGAATAAAAGTTGTAGTGCATCAAATTCTGTATTGAGTACTAACAGTTTTAATGTTTTATTATATCTCAAATTGGTATTCGTTATTTTTTCATGAAGGATTTTTTTTGACTCCTCATTTTTCAAAATCCTTCACTGCTGAGAGATGGAAGTTCTAGAGTTCTATAGAGTTCTATACTGTATATATTAGACTCTTAACAGGAATAACTCAGTAGAATATACATACAAACCATTGAAATATTTAAAATTACAGATATCTTTATTACCAATTTTCAGCCATCGCTACTCACTACCGATTTTCAATGAAGTAACCTATATTAAAACTGTTGGTGCTCAGTAAACGTGGAATAAGATACTCTAGAACTTTTATTCTGTGTTTTTTCCTTAGAGAACTCTTATAGTTTAACTTAGAGAACTCTTATAGAACTTTTATAGTAATTTGTTTCAGTTTTTGATGAATTCGGTAAAAATCGGCATTGGTTGACTGTGGCTATCGACCGTACCACTTGACCAAATTATTAAGTTTAGGTACTCCTTCGACACACAATTTAACATTCTTTAATTTCTTAAAGAGAACATTTTTTTCTTAGATGCACTGTTTAGGAGTTATAGGTGAAAAAAACAAGATGAGATAAAAAAAATCTGTCTTTTTTGGCTGTTAAAAATATTCTTTTGGTGGTTAACGTTAGCAATTTTCTTTTTTTTTTATTTGCCTCAACCAATATATACAAGTTAAAAAAACAAAATCTTTTTGCAATGATTTTCTCATTTTGATCTTCAAGTTACTGGTCTAATATTCTTTAAATTAGTTGCCATTTTTACAGATTGCAAGATCCGACTGACAGACTCATTTTTTAATTATAAATATTTTTAAAAATGCATTTAAAGTTTTCATCAAATAATGTCGATTTTTTAATTTTTTTTTTATTTCACTGCGACAGTGACCTCCAGTTGATTTCCCAAGCATATTGTCTTCAGTCTAATATTTCTCCACTATTATTTTCAGGTTTTTGGTTCAGCTTTTACTGCAACTGCACTGTTCCTATTGGGTCTACGAATGGTTGGAAATGTAAGAAATTTCAGAGGAGCTGCGCTATTAGTACCAGCTTTGTTGATATCTGTCAAGGAGTAAGTTTTGTACAGTATTAATTCTATATTTATGTCTGATTTTATAAATAAAAAAGTATGTGTCAATTTTTATCTGTCTCAGATTTTTTGTTACATTGTCATAAGGAAATGGTTGAATTTATTAAATGAAAAGTTTTAAACTATATAAACCTGCCATCTGCCATCATAAAAGAAAATGGTGGATGGTTAGAAAACTCAGTTGTTTTATCCTCTTTTGTTAGATAAATGGCTAAACAAATTTAGATTTAACTTTATATTGCTGTTATCTAGAGCCATAAAGGTTTTTAGCAACATTAAATTATTATCCACATTATTATTTTAATTATTACACAATGTTTTTATACAAATTAAATAAAAATAAATAAATAAATAAATTTTTTTTGTTTGTTTTCGGGCGAATCGATACAAATGGAGTTGAGTTTTATACACATACATTTATAAGAATATACATAAATATGATACCTAATTAACTACATTAATAGTAAAAAACATATATAATATAATATGATATACAAAATAAAATTAGTGTGTCTGATATAACTATAAACAAAACGATCTTTCTTTAGCAAAATAAAATATAATGCTTAGTCCTAATATTATATTTACATATAACCTTATTCTTAATTACCATTAAGAATAGATGAAACAATTTATTCTTGAACAAACAAAAAGAGGTTTCTTAATTTAAACAACTTTTTATATACCAGTATAAATCATTGAATTTATATTTCTTTTCTATATCTAATAATTGTACTATTTGATCTATATTGTCACAATTACCATCAATATATTCATTTAAATACTTATGTCTAAAAGCTACATATGTAGGGCAATGCATCAGAAAATGGTATAAATCTTCGGTTTCACGGGTATTACAAATGGAACATTCAGCACTTCTATCTAGAAAACTATTTTGAAAGCCGTAATAAGTAAGCTTTAAGTTGTCCAGCTGGTGCAGTCTTAATTGGCTAATCATTCTGTGCTTTTTTATCGGCTCTTTAAGTTTTAGATAATACTCACCCTTAGTCAGGCTAATTTTTCTAAAGTTTTGATTAAATTTTGAGTTTAATATGGATTGAATATCGAGGGAAAATTTATTACATTTTAATTATTCAATAGTGTTTTGTTATTAGATAAATTATAAATCTTAAAGATATCAAAAATTATGTGTGCCAAAAAAAAAAAACCAAGCATCATGACATTGGTGTTTGTTTCCACGAGTGTCAGTGGGTTGGTTAGGGGTGGTTTTCAATGTTTTTTAAAAATAAATATCCTAACATATAAGTTCTCAGTAATGCGAATATAACCCTCTTTGTTAATTTTAAAAAATAATTATCTTGTCAAAAATAAAAGTATACACAATACTGAAATAAAATTTGTCCCCATTTTAAATTAAAATATCATCATTAACATAATGGTTTATAATGGAACTAACAAAAAATGTCAGAGCTCAATGGTAGATATGTGAGTAGTTTTTTCATAAATATAAAAATATAATATAATATTATATTTGTTAAAATAAAGTTTTATTTGATGTCTTACAAATGTTTTAAATATTTCTTTTAGATTGATTTTACCTTTGATAATAAGAGAAATAACTAGCTCTATTTTGCATTCATCTGATTACAATTCTACTTCAGTGACGGATTTGAGCACGTTCGGTTTCCTTTACGGGACTTTTCCTGCAGCTCCAGGTGTTTTTGTCTATGCCACTACCTATGGACTCGATTTAGACTTGGTAAGTTTTTTACTTTCTACTTACCTATATATGCAATATATAGTAAGGAAAAAGTTTTCAACAGAAATACATGTTTTGAGGTTCCATTAGTTTAAATAACCAAGTCCCGAAAAATGGTGTGTGTGCGCTTGCGCATGTGTGCGAACAGTCTAGCCCAAAAACAAAAAGTTGTACGTTAATTAAATCTAATATTAAATTAGAATTTAAATTAGGTTTATACATGCCTGGAATGTTACAACAACTTTTTCGTCAAAGTTAGTTACCCAGAAGTGCCACTTTATATTATCGATTTCACACATTTTTACATTTTAATAATCTTCACTATGGCTCTAACGGTTTTGATTAAATTCATTATATCTATGTAAAATTAAACTGTTTTTTCTATAATGTAGGTCTTATCCTTATTGACGTTCTCTAACAGGGTTTAAATGTATAATTTTCAAAATTTCTTCCTCTAAAGTACCTTTAATTTTTTTTATTTGGAATAATTAACCATTTTACATTGGAAACTAATATAAAAAATGTTTAAATATAATGAATGAAGAAAATTGATTGTTAAATAAAGGGGAAATAAGGTTTGGAAGCTTTATGGAAACAGTCAAGAGTGCCCACGCTTTGCCAATCCTCTCCTGATCCTACAGATACATGATTCCCCTCTGTACATAGCTTTCATATTGTAGGTTTAACTTTTATATATCACTTATCCATAATTTTTAAAAAGGTTTTCACATAATTTTGAGCATCCACTAATATAAACTTAATAATATACAATATTTACTTTTATTAAATTATTTTTTCAATGAGATTCGTGATAAATGACTCAGATAATATTCAGAATCTTTCCGAAAGATCCATTATTTCTCACAATCATTAATATTGTTTGATACTATACCCAGTCGTAAATGGAAATGGAAAGTGATGCAAAAATATAAATTTAACTGATTTGATGGACAGGGAAAAATATGGTTATTAATTGTTTTAAATTAAAATATACCATCATTTTAATTTTGATTTCCTTATACATTTGGTTCGTATGTACTCTAAGTTTAGTGAATAAAATTTGTATGATGCTTGCACCGCACCAGATTTTTTATTTATATAAAAGCATAAACACAAAGAAAATTGTTTTGTCATTATTGAAAGATAAGATATTTAATCTACATTTAAATTATGTTTAAATATTTTCTTAGATTGCTGGAGCGATGGTTGCTTGCACTTTTATATCTGCTCCGCTGATGTTCATTTCAGCCAAAATGATCTCAGTTTCAAATATGGCGCCGACAGATTTCGTTCCAGCTCTTAAAAATTTTGAGCTTGACATAAGTATAGCTGGACTCGTTGCTGCTGTAAGTATGAAAAAGAATATATTTTAACTTTTGAAAAATTATATTTTAATAATAAATTTAGATATTTGATAATCTTGTTTTAATTTTTTTATCAAGAGTGATTAATTCTTTCAGCTTAGCACTCAAGTCCGTGTTCTTTCAATTCTATGAAATTTATCAAAATGGAAAACATTTGAATCCTGAAGTCAGTTACGCAGGATTCATATTTTTTGTTTTTGTTTTCTTGGGTGATATACTAAATAATATTTTTTATATTCTTTTCTGTAGCACAATGACCATCACTGAATATTTTATTTCAGGTGTTGCTATTAGTATTGTTCACTTTGAAGAAGAATTTCCTCAAGTTGCCACAAAAGATAACAATGTTTATCCTTCTGTGTCAGGTAATTTTACTTTTGTTAATGCTTATACTAGTATAATAAGTTTATTCTATTAACTTTTCTATGTTAAATTTTGGTTTTTGGATGGTATAAAAATACACAAAATTTGAAGTTTTCTTCTCCCTTGTCATATTCACTTTATTCCAACATTTAACTGCCATTTCCACACACATTCATCGTAAACAATATTAACATCCACAAACAACACAGCTCTTTGTTGTCTCATTTTAATTGTAGCCAACTGAATAAGTCAAACCATCTGTTTAAATTATCTTTGTATCTATCTCTCTCTAAATTAAATTTTGGATGAGTTCTGTATTTGGGTTTAAACGTCAAAATATATATTTAATATACTGTTAAGTACTACCAGGAATTTTCATATAGAAAATACACGTTTATAACATAAAAAATATTTCTTTAAATATTATCTATCCCTAGCTATATATTTTTGTATATTTTCAATGCAAATAAATAATAGTCGGACAGAACCAAGTCTGGTGGATATGATGAAAATTTAAAGTGAATTTTTTAAAGGATTTGACATTCAGAAGGGCATAAAACAGGGAGATGATCTTTTTCTAGAAATAATGTTTTCGTTTTAGAAGTAGTCGTGAAATTGATCCACACTAGGTTAGGAGAACGTATATATGACAGAATGACTCAACACATTTGGGGATGACGTATTGTTTACAGTAAGGACATCCAATGCACTCTTAGGAGTATTCAAGAAGTGGGAAGAATCTGCAAAGAAAGCAGGACTTGTCATAAATATATGTTAACAACGAGGGAGATGAAAGGCACTAGATGTATCGAGAGGATGGGATATCGTTTCGAAAGAGTACCATAATTTAGGTATCTAGGCCCTATTATCACTGAGAATAATAATTTAAGAGAAGAAATAAGTGCAAGGATCACAGCAAAAATTAAATATATATTTTGACGTTTAAACCCAAATACAGAACTCATCCAAAATTTAATTTAGAGAGAGATAGATACACAGCTGGTGATGAGTGTAAAATCTTTCTTCGAAATCTGGTAAAATCTTTCAAAATTGTACTATATCAAGAGCTCTCAAAATAACAGTAAATAAGCCAGTCCTGCAACCAGTTGTTATGTATGGAAGCGAGTGCTGGACACTCACACTTAATGAAGGGAAGTTATTGAACAGCTGGGGAAAAAAAAATCCTTCGTAGAATCTATGGTCCAATCAAAGAAGGAAATCTAGATGAAGACGAATGAAGAGCTGAAGAAGCTATTTGTTCCAGACATTACACAGGGTGGCGATCGATCTGGAAAAATACATTTTATGTTTACATACTTAATAATGAATAGAAAACCTTATTTTCAACTTCAATTTCAAATTCATAAATAAATTCCTGATATGTTTTTAATATGGTAGTGATATTTATACATTTTGATTGATAACAAATTTAACAGTTATATTTACTTTTTATTATACAATTTTAAAATTATTAAACATATTACTATTTTCTATTTCCACAGTTCTGTGGCTGTCTCGGAGTCATATTGGGAAATTTGAAAACAACCAACATGGAAATAGTCGAGTTCTTCATGTTGAGAATAGGAGATTATGGGGCAAAAATATGGACTGCGTGCCTGGCGATAACCCTTGCTCTAATAGAAGCGAAAAATTTTGCGAGTTTAGTTCAGCTTCAGTATATCTTTTTCATTACTGCTTTCGGGTGAGTGTTGCTATATTCATTCAGTTTTTAAAAATAAAATTGTCTTTAGTAGCTAGTCCTGTCATAAATATTTTTACAAGGAAATATATACAAATTTGAACAGAGAAATTAATTTTTTCAAAAACCTTATTAGAAAATAAAATGTAGAGAGTAAAAAAAATAAAATAAATTACTTAAAATGTGTTCCCCTTTTGCCTTGACACAGGCATTTAATCTCCATGGCCAGTCATCAATAGCAGCACGCAGCACTTCTTGAGGAACTGCTCGGACCATAGATTGTTTGAGGCTTTCCAAGTTAGGGTGTGCTCTGTGGCATGCCATCCTCTACAGTTCGGACCAAAGCCGATGATCTAGTGGGTTGTGATCAGGGCTTCCTGAGGGCCGATACAAGGCTGAGATGAACTCTGGAATGTTCTTTTGCAGCCACTGCTGAGTTGACCTGGCCTTGTGAGCTGGAGTGGAATCCTGATGGAAAACCCAATGACTTCCAGCAAACAGAGTATCATTTAGAGACTTGACAACAGGTTCCGAAATATCGTTCTGATAGTTTTTAGTGGCTGTTTTTACTCCTTTTTCACAAAAATGGAGCTTTGTGGTTCCACCAAAGCAAACTCGCCACCAAACCATCACTGAAGAAGGGTGATGACCTCTTTCCACTCTTCCAATGACTTTCTGGGCTTCTTTAGAGCTGTGTACGTTCACACGTCATCATTTTGGCATTTAAATTTTTGTTCAATTGTAAAAATGTTCTCATCGCTAAACAAAATCTTTCGATAAAGACCATTAGTGTAATTGTCAAGAAGCATTTTGCATCTATCCGCTCTAATTTTTTTAAGGAAGTGGTTAGTCTTTGTCCTGTCATTCTTTGAAATGCACCCATCCTAAGGCCACTTTTTATTATGTGAGACATTGATATGACAGAGATTTCCATTTCCTGAAACATGGTTTGTTGTTTTCGAATGGGATTTCTTCTGAATCGAGCTGCCATTGCTCTCACTGCATTTGCCTTTCTCACAGTGAAAGGACGTTTGAAGCTTTGTACATTACCATATACACAATAAATCGATTACAGTCCTCATACTTCAAGCAAAAAATAAAACCATGAATAAACCAAAATAGAGGAATAAGATGATCCAGCGTGGTGATCATAAAAAGACTAAAATAGTGAAAAAATCAAGCCCATGAATCGAAATAAAACATTTTTTTCACTATTTTAGTCTTTTTATGATTGGCACCCCGGACCATCTCCTTCCTCTAAAATATACTATGGTCAACCATCAAGTATTCAATAAACAAAAATAAGTATAAATAGTTTTTTTACTTAATTTTTATAATAAATAAAGTTTCATACTTTAAAAAATATATATATAAATAGTATTCTAAAAGCTCTGTTTAAAATTTTAGATTAATATTAATGAATCAAATTTTTGTATTCACCAAAATAATTTTCAATACTGCTTCATGATTGATACAATGATTTTAATAATTTTTTTTACTTACACAATTCTTGAAATGTTTTGTAGGTTGCCAATAATCGTGACGACTTCAATAATGTTGTTTGGAAAGAATTGGAAACCAGACATGGATTTACCTGAAGCATTTCCATATGGCACCATTGAGGCGACACTGACTGTATTCATCCTACTTGTTTCCCTTATAGGTTTCTTATAAATAATTTTTATTAAAATCTTTATTAATTTTAATATTCGACTAAATTTTTTATTATTATTGTTATGAAAAAATTAAATAATCTATATATAAATAAAATAAAGATTTTGTCTGTACATTGAATCGAAAGAACCCGTTTTATGATATCATTCATACATTGCAAACACCAAATCCACTTTTAAAAAAATTTTTGTCTGTCTGTATGTCCGCAGATTTTGTCAGGGGTAAGCTCAGCAATGGCTTATTGTAGAGTTTCGAAATTTTGACATTATATTAAGGTTTACTTGACTTGAAACATAGGCTTTAAATGAAAACAAAGTATTGAGTATAACCAAAGTTATGGATTCTTGAGTAATTTGTCTAGAGATCTCGGTTAATGTCGATAATAAATGGTAATAATAAAGATATGTTTATATTTTAAAGAACACCTATATAAATAAAATAAAGGTTTTGTCTGTACATTGAATAGAACCAACCCTTTTTATGATATCTTTTCGTTTTATACATTACAGACACCAAATCCACTTTTAAAACATTTTTTTGTCTGTCTGTCCTCATTGCAACGAAATTTTGTCAGGACTAAGCTCAGCAATGGCTTATTGTAGAGTTTTGAAATTTTGACATTATATTAAGGTTTACTTGACTTAAAACATAAGTTTTAAATTAAAACAAAATATTGAATAGAACCAGAGTTCTGAATTCTTGGGTAATTTGTCTAGATATCCCGGTTAGGCAGTAACTTCGATTCTCATCCCAACCTACTCTACCGCGAGACATATTTAACAGTTGTACTATTCAACTGATGGAAAAAATTATCACAACTCAACGGGAAAAAATCCGAAATACCAAACATCTGTAACGCGTTGCCGCATAAAACACACTTATTTTTCATCTTTGTCTAATCTTTCCGTTCAAGGTGTCATTCTATTCAACTTTCCGAAACTTTCCAGCCTAACAAATGCTGCCGTATACATTTTTAGGATTAACACAACGGATTAGCCGGAAATTGGAAGAAAATATTCTAAAAATTAAAATTACCTCTTCCCCCTCACCCAATGTCATGAAATTAACCCCTTCCCCATAGTACAATATCCATCTCAAGAAAAGATTCTTAAATTTTAACTATACACTCATCAACGATGGGTACATCTGCTAGTAATTATATATGTAAAGCTAAGAAGGTTCAATAATATTCAAAATGATGGCTCAATTATTGGATTTGATAAAGAATTAATGAAGATATGGCATACTGCCAAAAAATTACCTTTCAGGAATAATTCACAAAGATTTTTTCACATCTAGTTTTTACTTGTCCATTTTTTATTAAACTTCAATATTTTTGTGTTATACTATATGTCTCATTAATAAATTAATATTATTTCATTGATAAATTAATAATGTTTCATTGATAAATTAATAATATTTCATTGATTAATTCACAATGTTTCTTGCAGTGAGCATGGTGTATATGATCCTTCAACAGAGATACAAGAGACGATACGCCCGTTATCTGGTCTATTCTAGAGAGGCTAGTGAATCTTATGATGCTGCTGCTCAAAGTTCTAATGAGGTTCAAGGAAACAACAGGTACTATTATTAAAAAAAAAAATTATGTATCTATATTTTATTATTAGAATAAATTTTCATTTCCAATAATAAGAATTAAATTCATTGTAATTTGTTTATTATTATTATTATTATTTTTATTTCAGAGATGATGAAATTCCTCTTCAAAGTGGTTTAGAAGAAAATTCTGATGAAATTCAACCGGTTCATCATATGGCTCTTTTATTTTTCCTCGTTGGTTCTATTTTTATTGTAAGTTTTTATTTTCATATGAATCATATTTTTAGGAAAATATGTATAACAAACGCGTATGAAAGTTGTTCGGTTTCATGTGGGAGGTGTGGTAACAATCATTTAATGGCTATTTAACAGAAAATATTAAAAACATATCAAAACTAAATATAAATGTTTTAAAGGTAATGAGAATTTAAAAATTAAAATTATGCTGTTAGGAATATATTTTTTCTTAAAATGTACCTAGATTTTAAAGCTGAAATACATGCGTTATATTTTAAAAAGAGAATGTATTATGAAATTTTTAATAGTTGACCGTTGCATTATAAAGGAAGGAGATGGTCTGGAGTGGCGGTCATAAATAGTGGCAAAACTATTTTAATAAAAATAGTTTTTGGCTTTTAATAAAATAGTTTTGCCACTATTTAGCCTATATATGATGCCACCCCGGACCATCTCCTTCCTTGAGAATCTATTATGATTTTTAAGTATTTTTCTCATAGAAACAAATGTGGACAAAAAAAAAAGAAAATAATTTAAAAATCGCAATATATTTATTTTAAAATATACCACATGTACTTCAGCTTAATTATAATATTACGCTTAATCTGCTAGTGATGTCATATAAAGTTTGTAATAAAATCACTGTTAGTTTTTTTATTGTATTATAATGTATTATAATTTTTTATAGCTTTTATAATATAGTTTATAGTAAAATAGTTAATATACATTTTTTTTTTTTTACAGACTCTGTCAATATGCATTTGGCGTATTGTGATGGATGACTTGACGGGTGTCTACGTTGAATTGGCTTTTCTTGACACAGCTTTCACCAGAGGCGGAAGTATAATCGTCTTCTTCATATTTGGTTTTGATATAATATCTTTCATACAACCTCTCTTCAAGAAGTAAGTATAATTTAATATAACAATTGGTTAAAAACTGTTGAGTCTCAATAATGGAGTTGGTTAGAATTAGGTCTCCATCAAAATTATCCAAACACTCTTACACATTTAAACAATACTTTCTTTACTTTTGGTGTAGCAGTAAAGAAAGTAAAAATAAACTTTTAATCATCCAATGTCTCATAGATGCATGAAATCAATAAGTAGATTTAGGAAGAAATGGACGAGAGATGTACTCCAATACTCAGTGTATATAATGTTGTATATTTATTGCTTAGGTGGCTGAGCAGGTTAAAGTGCATGCAAAAATGCTCTAATCTACAATACCAAAGGTTGTGAATTTATAATTGAATAATAAAAAAAAAGGAAAAATTGAAATAAATCTGATTCTTCCACCCACCAGGCATGTGGAACCCTGGTAGACTTCTAGAGATAACTCACATCTAAAGGGTGTAGGAGTGAAGACCATACCTCGTGTAATCTGGAATCGGTAGGCCCTCCACTTTGATTTGGTCCATGGACGGTCTGTTACAGGGAAAGAAAGTCCTCTTGTGCCTGCTAACTCTGAGCAGCCATAATCCACAGATGACCAATTTGTCAGTGTCCTTGAGCTTTAGTAAGTCGGTGGGAAGGTCACTGCCAGATTTGCCCCAAGCCATGGAACAGCTGGTGGCCTTTGGGTATAATGAATTTAAATAATTTTAATATACTCTGCTCCTGTTTCCATGGAAACCTTTTAAATTTTCAACGAATGCTTATTATTTTGCTACTGCTACTAGAAGAAATTATTGCAGTCAAATATAATCTTTTAACTAATATTCATGTTTTAAAAATAATTTTTGCAGGTTTCCATTGAAACCCATTTACTTTTCTTTTAAATTTTTTAAATAAATCAAAATCTGTAATGGCATTATAAGTTAACAGCTTTTACTATAAGGGAGCTATGTCCTTGGTCTCCTGATAACCTGCTAATACAAAAAAGAAGAGGTTACAGTGATGTTCTGTGATAATAAATATAGTTTAGTTTTTAAGTTTCTATTCTTCCGTGTAGTTCCAGAGAATGTTATCTTGAGAACTATGTTGTAGCTTAATAATTTATTGTAAATACTAATAATATAATAAATAGTTGCATGAGTGAATGGTATGCATGAAGAAATATTTTTATATATATTTAATAACTTTAATAGAGTGACTTTTTATTAGTTTTTACCTTGTAGTTTACTACTTTCCTTTAGTCTGTTATAGTTCATTTTTCCTTTAGTTTAATATTGAAGTTGATTTTATTTATTTATGCATGTATTTACCGTTTTTACTTTATGATGTAAAATATAGATGTTTTGTTTGTTTGTGGTGCATTTATTAAGTAACCCTAACTTCTTTACTTAATTTATTTTATTTTTACGGAAGACAATTATTAAATTTCTTATAAAGTTTGAATTTATGTTGGTTTAAATTTACCTGAAATTGGTAGTAAATTACTAGTACTAGTAGGCTCGTGCAAAAAATTGTGCATATTGTTAAGTGATCTAATGCCAAATTAAAAATAAAATAAAATAATACAGCGTATCATAAGATAAAGAAAGCAATTGTTAATTTATCGATAAATATAATCGACAAAACAAAAATAAATTTAAATCTTCATTTTGTTTTGAACCAGCACAAATTTTAGTAAGCTGTATCTGTGCTAAAAAGTGTCCGATTTCTATGATTTTTGTTTTCCTTTTATAGGGAGTTTAGTAATCCTTTATATAATCATGGGCATAACCTATGGAAAAGTGTGTAATTTTTTAGTTATTCGCGCATAAAGTTGCTTTTATTTCATAACTTGTTTGCCTAAATTTTGGACTATTTTGCCCGCATGAAGAAGAAGAAAGCCTTCAAAATTTGTGGCTCAATCTTGGGATTTAGTGAAGAATTAACGACGATATGGCTTGCCGATCAAAACACCATTGATAAATATATAAACTCCTCCTCTCTCGATCATAGAGGCCTCAAGTCGATGAAATGAGACATGTATTCAATGACAGTACTACAATTCCAAAGGAACTATTCGGGTCTTGTTGTACTCATCAAAATCTTCAAAGCCCAATTTTTCCCGTATCGATCTACAGACTTACCTCCGTTCCAGTATCGAAGCCTAGAAAAATGTTTATATAGACTTTATTTGTTTTAGATTCGCTAATCCTCTGTGAAATCCTGAATCCAACAGTACCCCATTCATGGTATTTGAGCATGGCAGGAACTTATATTTGGTACAAAACCGATTTCGAGCCTTACTGCGGGGATAGTAAATAATCAATGGCCACTATACAAATTTCAATTTTAATATTGCTGTAATCTTTACAGTTAAATATTAAATAATATAAATGCATTTATATGTAATGATACCAAAAATACATATGTATATGTAATAATAATATTATCAGAGCCCATAATTTATTAAGCATGTGTTATGTATTAAAGCCAGTTGTAACCTTTCTGCCAAGCTCCGCTACACGCTCGAGTTTCTTCGGTTCTCTATCACAATCCCTTATTTATCTTTTAATTAATTATAAAATTCCTTCATATTTTATATTCAACCAATTTTTAAATCAGGTTACCATGTGATATGGTTAATAATTTCAAATAAAAAAAAATCTGGTGTGGTGCGTGCATCACACTACTTTAACTTACCAACCAGTAGTTAGATATTTTCATATATAGGAAAGTCAAAGTGGAAACGATATTATAACTTCATTTACAATGATTAATTACCATTTTTTCTCTGTCTATTGTATCTGTTAAATTTATAATTTTGCATCGCTTTTCATTTCCTCTAACAACTGTGTATAGTAAACAATACTTATGATTGTAGGAAAAAATAAATCTTATGAAAAAATCTGAGTTTCATCAGAAACATTTATCATGAAACTCATAGACTGAACTTGATTTTGAATCCCGTTTTAATGAATGCATACTTACTTCCGAGGAGAAAATATGATTAATCCTTCACTTATTCATTTATTCTAAGCCTATTGGTGGAGTTTACTGTGATATCTCATTTAATATTGTATTGCTCTCACAAAAATCATTGTGAGAATGAACTCAACTGTTTTTTTTACAGTCTCTCTGTTTTTTAGTACTTTACCTTACAAACTTTCTTTTCACATTGATCTTTCTTTTCCCTTTAAATCACGAGTGAGTGAGATCGGCTCAGGATTAATAAATCAAGAAAGGGACCCCTACTAATGGTGGAAGGACTGCCTCTATAACATCCTAGTTCTTGCAAGCAAGATGATCCATTCTCAGACTTTGCTTAGTGTATGAAACAAATATTTTGGGAACTACCCAAAAACATGTGAAGGCATTTGTATGAATCAAAGGACCACTTTGATAATTGTACCAATAAGGTAAGGAAATGTTATAGCCGAGTATGTTAGAGGGACCAAAACTATTACGACCACGGCTCGGGCAAGCGCCTTTACACTTGTGGGGACGCATTAACAACACCCATAAATCCAACAACATGTAAAGAGATTTTAACAAATTATAAGACCAGTTTTTCATATTTCCTTAGGGGAAGGGCTTGTTAAAATAATTCACAATATATTTATACAAAAAAAAAAAAAAAAAAAAAACAATAGAATTTTTGGGTTTGTTAGATAAGTTTGAAAGCCAGTATTACAGATGATGTTCCTAATATTACTTTCACTTACCTATATATGCAATATATAGTAAGGGTAAGTATTGCGATCGTGAACATTTTTGAATCTGAATTTTCAACGGAAATACACATTTTGAGGTCCCCTGAGTCCAAATAACCAAGTCCCGCAAAATGGTTTGTATGTGTATTAACAGCCTAGCTCAAAATGATAAGTCGTACAAAAGAGAAATTGCATATTTATTGTTTTTATATGCTTGAGATGTTACAGAAACTTTTTTGTTAAAATTGGCAAACCGGAAGTGGCACTTTATATCATAGACTTAATACATTTGCAATTTTCTTGAAAACGGCTCAAACAATTTTCATTAAATTCGTTATATCAGTGTAAAATTAAGCCCTTTTAAATAAAATGTAGGTTTTTGATTGATGTTCTCTAACAGGGCTTAAATGGCTAATTTTCAATATTAGCTTCCCCCAAAGTACATTTACTTTTTTTAATTTGAATCAATTGACCATTTCACATTGATCTCTAATATAAAATATAAGTTAAATATAAAGTACGAAAGAATTTGATAATTAAATAAAGGAGAAATAAGAGTTCGTAACGGAGAATAGTTGTAATTGAGGAACCAAAGGAATACGAGCGCACCTGAACTTGCCCGAAAGATTAGAACACGCTTCCATACGTAACATGAGCTTAATATAATAAGGACTCCGACAATATTATGTAAATATGCATATGTGGTTTTCATAAATGCTATTGTTGGTACTATTTAATATTTAATTGTATAGATTACATTGTTATAAATATTAAAATTTGTATAAATAAGGGTACTTATAATAATAAAAATACCTACAATGAAATAAAAATAATATATAGCGTTTACTTTCATTTCTCCTTTGTCTGAAAATACTTATTTTTGCTGAGTGAGTGTTAAGTGAAAGTTGTGTGATACGCGCACCGCACCAGATTTTTTTATTGCTTTCAAACATACAACTTATAACACCATATATTGATTAAAGTCCCCATACTTCTAGCAAAAAAAAAAGAAAAAATTGAATAAACAAAAATAAGTATAAATAGTTTTCTTACTTAACTTTTATAATAAATACAGTTTCAAACAAAAAAAAATATGTACAGTTTTCTAAAAGTTCTGTTTGAAATTTTAGATTAATATTAATGAATCAAATTTTTGCATTTCCAAAATAACTTTATAAAAGTATTTCAATTGAAATTCTATTTCAATATCTATCTCTGTCTTGTTGGCATTACAACCCGGGGGGGAGGGTGAGGGAGGGAAGGTCTTGTCCTCCTCTAAGAGCTTCCGCCATCCACCTCGATCCATTGTCGCTATGATTTTTGCGATTTATCATTCCAGTATTTTCTTTAAGACGTTTTACGATAAGGATGGTTTAAGGAGAGGGTGATATCAACCCATACTCTGGCCCCTAGTCAGGTGGAGGGACTGCGTTCTTGGAGCACCCTGACTCACTCCCCCGGGGCGGCTACCTAGGGGAGGTGACCCTAAGGTGTGTACTGTTATTGACCTTAATGTATAATGTGGGGGTGGAGATTGACCTTAATGTATAATGTGGGGGTGGAGGTGTGTTGTGTGATGTAATCTGTGTACTGTGTGTGTGTCAGTGTACTGTTCCCCCAACCTTGAAGGACAGTGGCTATCTGCAGTATTTTGATCGGGCGATGGGGCCACCACCTCCCTATGCCAATTTCAATACCTCTATACAATATAAAGTAGACTTACACCACTTTGAAATAAAGCTCAAATGTTATATAAATATTTGCTTGTTTTTAATTTCTTTCTTTCTTTCTAGAATCGTGGAATCCTTTAAATCTGGAGAACCTACAACTCTTCCTTCTCTAGATGAAATACCATCTGAAACTCAACATCTGTGCGACCAGTTTACCACTTACCACATGGAACCATGCAGGCTTCAGATCGTCAAAAGGAGGAGGTAGTATATTTTTATCTTTATGTGTAGATTATCACGAGGAATTCCTGTCATATTTGGTGTGAACATATTCATTTTGTTTTTTTCAATTTGATGGAGTCTATTAGATTAAAATTCTTCTATTCTTTTCCATATTTATTTTTTAATTATTATATTTAATCTATATATGATTCTATATTTATTGAAACCCCGTTTTAACCTGACAGCCTCTTATTTTACATTTAAAATATTATTATATTATACTATAAAAATTATTGTGAATTGATGGTTGACTATAGTGAATAATTTAAGAGAAGAATGGTTGAGGTAATCAGTAAAAAAAAATGTAAAAATAAATAAGTATTGTAACATCGCTCTCTTATATTTTACAAATAATAATAATAATATAACCTCAGAAGATCACTTTATACCCTTAGGATACTTCCAAAAGAAATAAGAGGTTGTTAAATAAAAAATAAAATTATAAGAGAATTAATATATTTATTTATCTGAGAATTAATATATTTATTTATCTCAGGTGTGGGTTACTGACAATCATATCAACTCAGTCAAACTATTATTATTTACACTATTTATATTAAAATTAAACATTGATTCTAAAATAAAGTCAAGTATGAATTGACAAGCTAATCTTTTTTCTACATACAATGTTTCTTCCTTTGTGGCACTGAATTCATTTGTCTTCACACATTTTCTTATGGTCTGCCAAACACATATCCCAAAATGGTAACACTATTCTTCTACTCAACTCAAGCTCTCTGGGAAATCCTCTCTCTTGCAATTCCAAACAACTATTCTCTCTGCTAAACAAGATCTTCTAAGATGGTAAAACTATTACTGGGTTTTACCCACTGGAGCCAGGATAGGATATCTTCTCTTAACCTCTCTTCACTGCATTCACACAACAACTGTTTGTCAAAACCAAAAGCTTTTTCCCTCTCCTCTTTTTGATTTTCCATCTTGGGAAACTACAGAGCAGCCATATTTTCTTTTCCTTGCACTAGTAGAACTACATTAGCTTGTCTTTTAATTGTTCAATATTACTTTATTAAACCCGTTTTACTCACTTTCAATAAAGGTGTACATTACAGTATATTTATTTTTGCGGAAGTTTCAGCCCGAAGTTCAGGCATTCATCAGAGCTGGTCAAATGAGCCGAAACGGAAAAAATAAATTTATTTTTACATTTATCTTGACTGATCATCCCAACTATTCTTATCTTAAATTATTCACTGCAGTCGACCATTAATCCACAATTATGAATCTACATGGGCGTTGCGGAAACCTCTCGTTTGATCGGCCCTGATGAAGGCCTGAACTTTAGGCAGAAGCGTCAGCAAAAATAAATAAACTTATTTATTTTACAATTTTTTTTACTGGTCACTCTAAACCATTCTTCTCTTCAATTATAAAAATTATTATTGTAACGTTTTGGCCCCAAGAGCCATTTTCAAAATTTTTTTTCTTCTAAAAATCAAAACATTAGTCCTATAAAAATATTATTTCTAAAATATATATGTATATAGAATACTATTCAATGGTAATAATTGTTTTATTAAATATAAAATGTTTTGTTTTATTTCCTTTTTTCCTCCAAAACTTCACAAAAATTCCTTTCTTCTCTTCATTTTATCAAAACATTCATCCTGCAAATTAACAACTCTTTTATAATGTAATAATTTTAAACAATGTTTTATAAATTCAAGAAAACTATTTCATTTAGTGATATTTTTTTGGGCAAAAGTTATTTAATTACTGAAAAGCACGCATAAAAACCAGATCTAAAAATAAAAAAACAAAAACTTTTATCATAATTTCTTTATTTTTTAATCACCTTCATCTTTTCTTTATTCAGCTGTAGTTTAGACTGACTCACTAATAATACTAAAGTGCCCTCAATTGTTTTTTTTTTCAATTTATTTTTTTATCACGTTGGAGCCGAAACGTTAAATAATAATTTTAAATATTTATAAAATGTTTTAAATGTAAAATAAAAGGCTGAGATGAAAAAAAAAAGGTTTTAATACATAATATATAATCGAATATTTAATAGTTGACTGTTGCATTATAAAGGACGGAGATGGTCCGGGGTTGCAGTCATAAATAGGCTAAATAGTGGTAAAACTGTTCTGAAGTTCAGTTCTAAGTGAAACTCCTAGATGAACACACCTCCCTGATGAAGACCTGCAAAGTCTGGTCGAAACGTCGGCTTTCAATAAAATAGTTTTACCACTATTTAGCCTATTTATGACCGCAACCCCGGACCATCTCCTTCCTTTATAATATATAATCATATATAGATTAAATATAATAATTGTTAAAAAATCTCACAAAAAAAATATTTTTTTTTATATTTTATCATAAATATTTTTTTAATGTTTAAACATTCCTGTTTTCTAATTCCTATGGGATTATTTTTTCGTTAAGAAAATATTCAAAAAGTATTAATTTATTGATATTAATAAATTGATATTTTTTTTTTTTGTGATGAGCATTATTTTTTCATTTTTCTGTTTACCTTTTAGATTTTTGGTCACCTTAACTCCATCTATTTTTGGCTGTTGCTTTCCTGTTGCCCACATGCAGCTCTGCAGTATCTTTATTGATACTATCTATCCATCTGGTTTCTGGCCTAATTTTTAGGCGCTAATTGTTGTAAAGACGCTTCCAATTGGTTGACTGGTTTCTGTAAGCTCTTTATTGGTCCATCTCCTCCATGAATTGGTACTCTGATTACAGATCGCTCCCGTTATTGTGTAAAGGATTTTTCTCTCAAATCTCTCAATACTTCTTTTTAAGGTAGTAGTAGTGTCCTGGCTTCGATAAGCAGTATATGAATATTTAATTTTTATTATTTAATGTTGATCCTATTTTGTTTTTATTTTTTTAAGATTTACTATGTTTGATATTGTATGTATCAAGATTATTGTTTTGATATTTACACCCCTACTCTTTTCAAAGATTAAAGTAATCAAGGTCTGATATATGATAACAACACTAAACATATTTTAGTCAACCGATTATATACAGTAGACTCACGCTTTTCCGTCCTCGTTGGGACGAAGACATTGCCAGGTAAGTGGCTAGAGCCATTTAGTACGGAGGATGAGAAATAAAACAAAACTCCAATGTTATTTTAACTTCAGAAAAATCAAAATACAACACAACTTAGTGGGCGGGGTGGCTGAGCGGGCTAACGTGTGTGCATAGCACTGCTGTTGCCTGGCAACCTGGTATATGAGATAATTGATAAAAATAATCATAAGTACGCTTCCTGTTGCTATGGGGGGTTTTTAACTCTGTCATTATTCCCCGCTCTCATCCCTTGGTCCGGGAAAACTCCCTATCGCCTAAAAGCCGAGGAAGGGAGAACAGAAAAAAAAAGCACACACAGCTAAAAAGAAAAACGTAGTACAGAAACAAAAACCTCGACTAAAATCTTTCCATGAAAATCTAATATCGGTAATGTACGCAGTTACAGTCTTACTACAGTATTTACAGTACTACGCAGTATTTATTCTTCATTTATTTTTTTCATTTTTTAATGTAGTAAATGAAGGATAAGGATTTCGTTACAAGAATCAATTTTACTTAGAACACATTTGTTTTATTGAGGTGAAAAAATAACAAACAAAAACTTTTTTGTCTACATTTCAATCTATTTAAAATCCATCGAACTGCAACACTACAAAATTTATAGCCAGTGGTTGATAATCTCACAAAGTTACAAGTGCTTTTAAGGATGCTAAAATTTTTTTTGTCTTTTACCGTTACCGCCGCTCAATCCAGAGAGTCAGTTAAGTTCGAGCTGGTTTAATGGGACTCTATTGTATTTTGATATATTTGAAAAGTATCAATATATTTACTTCCATAGTTACTTCCTGATTGTAGAAACTCTAGTACCTACTTCGAGTTGAAGTGGCCTTATCCTTCCTTCTTATGATTTCTTCTGTTGTTTCTGTTTTTTATTACTATTTATTAAAAAGAGGAGGCCAATGTAGATAGATAGATAGATAGATTTATTAACAATTATATATGATAACTTCAGTTTCAAAAATATATTTGCTTCCTTATTGTTATACAGGCTACATATTTCCATAATAATTATTTTGTCCTCACTAACATTTTAGACTGTTTGCGTCAGTGATATGTTTTGTGTACCTACTATGTACTTTTGTCTTATGTTTTTCATCATCATGATGCAAATATATATTAAAACTATCCATCACTGTTTTATTATTTTCTACTTATCTGTGCAGTTTGTGGGAGTCGAAGATAATTATTTTTAATGATTATTCTAATCGTCATAAGCACTTATTTGTTTCAGAATACTGGTTGATTCGTGTGGTTGTAATAATTCTTATGGAACTTTTTCCTATGTATGATTGAAAACCATCGTGAATAAAGATACTTGTAATATTTTCCTGGTAAGAACTTAGCCATTTGCATGCCTGGTACATTTTTGGTTTTGGGTTCGCATCATTACTGCAAGATTGATTAATTCCTCATCATCATCATCTTCACCTTCTTCATCATCTTCATCATTCTCTCAGTGATCTTCTCATTGATCACTGTATAATCTGGACCAGCATCACCTTTCAACGACTGGTGTTAATGGAAATTGGTTCATACACTGCCAGTTAAAAATTTAGGACCACCTGTTATTTATATTTATTTGTATATACAAATAAACATGTTTTGGTGTTTAACGTCTAATTCCTGGGGGAACAGAATAGTTATCTAATGTGAGAGTTCTCTCTGGGGTATGCTAGTATAATAATAATTCTTTTTTTTTTTTCATTTGATGAAAAAAAGTCTAAAATTATTATAATATAATATGAGAAATAGTTCATTGGGGGGTGCGGTCAAATAAATACTAAATTAAAATATAGTAATTATTTAATAATCTATCCTAACGATATTACACTAATGTTACCCTATTAATCTTTCAATTTTTTTACTTCTTAACCTTTAGTCCCGTTATCTGTTTAACCTACAATCAAATGTAACCTCCACTAGCTTGTTATCTACTGATATCTTATTATTATTTTATCTTATTCTTATTTTAACTTTACTACAACAATACTTATTCAATTTTCAATCTATTTATTCGTTAACATTCATTTTCTTTATCTGTTAACCCACAGTTATCTAATGTAATCTCTATTAGTTTGTTATACACTTATTTCTTATCTTTTATCGCAATCTGTTTACTTTTAACTTACATGCTATATTCTCCTTAATTTTTTTTTATTCTTACTTATTTTCAATCTGTTTGTATCTTCTACATATATAATACTTAATATTTTAACTACATTGTCACCCACTATATCTCTGATATCTTTTTATTTCTGTATCTGACAACTTCTTCTTATTTTATATCTATTTATATTTATTTTTTATTTTCAACATGTTTTGTATCTTTTGTAGCTCTGAAGACGACCTGCAAAGTGGGTTGAAACGTCAGTAAAAATTAAATAATTACTATATTTTAATTTAGTATTTATTTGACCGCACCCCCCAATTAACTCCTTCTCATATTATATCAACGGTCAACCATCTCTACATCATTATTATAATTTAAAATAAGGCTGTGTTTTTTTACTTCAGCACATTTTATTCCACTTTTACATCTACACCGGCTACGTTTTGGCTAGTTAGCCATTTTCAAGCCATCTGTAAGATAAACACTATTGTTGCAATTTCACATTCTATGATGGTGGTATTAATCATATTTTATTTAACATTTTATGAATTATAACCCTAATTGTCAATTTATTAATTTGTAAATTAATTTGAATCACAAGATAGAATGAGGTTATATTTTTATATTTAAAATTATATATAATAAGGTAAGGTCATCAGACATTAATTATATTAAATTTCAAATTTTAACATCATTACTTTATTTAATCATGCTTGTTACATGTAGTCCATAATTAGATTAAAGTCAAGTGTAAGTGTGGTTTGGGAGATTGCACATTGTTATATTTTTGTTTATATTGTTCACTCATTAAGGGTTTAAAATGGTTAATTAGCCGAAATGTAGCCAATGTAGATGTAATAGTGGAATAAATGTGGTGAAGTAAAAAAACGCAACCTCATTTTATATTATTATAAATACTTCACCTAAAACAAATGAGCACACATGGGTCTAAAATTATTTATTTTTTATATCATGTTCCCCTTAAATTGTATAATTTTGTTTTATTTTATTTATTCTGAAATTTATTTAATTTTCTCAAAAAATTAAGGTGGTCCTAAACTTTTGAAAGGCAGTGCAATTTCTAAATTCTGTCTTTCTTGTCATTTCTGAACATCTTAATTACTTCACACTTTTTCATTCTTCTTATATTTAACCGTTCTCAAGATCATTCTTCTTATTCTATATGCATTAATTCTTATTTTTAAGTTATATTATTAAATTTGATAATTTATTTCTTATTTGTTGTTTAATTTTTCCTCTCACGTATTTGTTTCCCAGAAATTATTTTCTAAATAGGGTTTGATCAATTGTCGAGCAAATATCGTATCTTAGCACCTGGTAAAAATATTGTAAATATCAGTCATGAATTTTTATAAATTACGAGTTTGATTTTTGTTTTTAGTCCAGTACGAAAGGTGTTCGATACGTAAAGGGAAATATTTGAAGTGGTGATAGTAGACCTCAAAAGATAAAAAAAAAATTATATAGTTCAAATACTTTTAAGTTTGAAGGGAACTGAGTTGTCCTTCAGGGTGTATAATTGGCTGACTAAAAAATATTTATTTTGGTTATGAGAATACCTCATCTTTTCTCATCTATTGGGTTGTCCAAAAAATAATACATGATTTTTGGTTAAATCAGAAAAAAGAAAGATTTACAACTGTTTTATTTAATCAAAATAGTCTCCACTACTATTAATACATTTCTGCCAACATTTTGGCAACTTGGAAAATTCTATTCCCCAGGTATGGAAAACCATACCTGGGGAATAGAATTTTCCATCTTTAGAATGGATAAGCTCCAAAAACGCATTTCCTAATTCCCTTTGTCCATTAAATTTTTTGTCACGTAAATAGTGGTCCTGGTGTCTAAAATAAATGATAATCCATAAGCGAGTGAGAGGTCTAGAGAGTAGGGCGGATGTGGCAGAGTTTCATATCCAAGCTCTAACAGTATTTATGACGTCACATGTGAGACATGTGGTCTAACATTCTCATGCAACGAAATGGCCCCCTTCCGATTGACCAAAGTTGGCTTCATCATTGCTAGTTTCTGATGCATTGCATTGGTTACAATATGATTCGGCATTGATGGTTTCTCCAGAATTTAAGAAGCTGTAGTGTATCGAACCAAATGAAGCTCACCAAACAGTAACTATCATCTTTTTTTGATGAATTGTGGGCTTTGGAAAATGTTTTACTGCTTCTCCTTTGTCGAGCCACTGTCCAGAACGTGAACTGTTATCGTAAAGTATTCACTTTTCATCACAAGTAACAATTCTGGACAGAAAAGGGTCATTTCTGTGTAGGATAAGAAGTGTAGCACAAACTGCATAACGCTGGTTTTTTTAGCGGTTGTTTAATGTGTGTAGAACCCAACTTTCAAGATTCTTTACATTTCTAATCGCCTTGAGGTGGTCATCGACGGTCAGTTTGCTAAGGTTAAGTTTCCCTGTAAATTCTCTTATAGTTGTTCTGTGGTTTTCATCCACCAAAGCCCACAGAACAGCATCATCAAGAGAGGATGTTCTCCCACGGCCTTCTTTGTCTTTAAGGCTTGGGCCCCATTCCGGCCTAGTTTAAACTTGTGAAACAAAATTATACAAAAATCACGCGTTGAAATATTAGTAAAGACTGAATAATTTCTAAGCAGCGAAATACTGCAGAGGTAAACAAACATTATCGTTTGGAAGACGATTAATAAGTATTCACATTCATACTAATGAATAATCCAGTAAACATAAAAAGTTTTTATACAGAGGGGTATTTTAAGGAAAACACAAAATCCTGCATTATTTTCTGGACAACACAATAGTTTTAAATTTTTATCTGTATTCAATGAGCAACACTGATTGCTATTTGCTAGGTTTTCAACCATCAGAGGAAAATACCATAGATTTTATTGACCCTTTTACACGGTTAAGTTTTTTTAACAAAGTCGGGATTGTAGCTACCATATATTTCTGCTTGGTGTATGACAAAAGAGGTTTTGGTGGTCGAGCGTATTAAAGCAGCGGGGTTAAAATTTGTTTCATGTCGGACCAACAGAATGGATTCGACCTGAAAAGTCAGTTCGGTTTACTGAGATTGTGTTATGTATGTATTTTATTTTATTTGTTTATATATTTGTTTCAGACTGAAGCTATGGGAGTTCGTACAGTGTTTTACCGGTGAAGACTTGGTCAGCTGGCTTCTCGGCGAAGGACTTGTCAAAGATAGGGAAGAGGGCATCGTCTACGGCAACCACCTGCTCGCTGGTCGCTTGATAAGACGATTGGCCGGACCGATCGCTCTCCAGTTCAGCGACGACAGTTCTCTCTTCTCGTTCTCTGATTAGCCCTCAGTTGTATTCACCGTCGGCTCTTATATCCAACTAGTTCCAAATCCTTTGACTTAGGTTATTCTTATTTATCTAGTCTTTATTTTTCGAAATTGTAGGTTGTCTGTTTTCAAACATCTTCTGTTAGACTTTTTTTTTTATATAAGTGTTAGTTATTATTTTAGCTAGTGGTGCTTGTTATTTTATTTATGTATTTGCCGAATTATAGGTCAAGATTGTTCTCTGAAATCTTCTTCTGTAAAGTGAAGTTTTGTTCAAACTAGAGGTTTTTAATTGAGTGGAGGGAGATTTGGGTTTTATATTTCGTAATAATATTTTTGGCAACAAAATTAATTTGTTCCTTTTGAAATAAATGATATGATACACATTGAAGGCAAATGGTGTATTTAACAAAACAAAAGATACCTGACGTAAATGGTACTTCGAATTAAAATTTTTTCGTTAAATTATTTATTTTAATCATAATTTTTAAAAGTTCATTCTACAATTTCAATTGATTGAAGTATCTATTTCTGATGTTAAAGCTTCTCTGATAATATTTTTTATGTTTTATCTATAATATTTAATATTTTAATAATATTTTTAAGATATTATGGTGCTCTTTATTTATTTAGTATATAATTTAAGCATATTTAAATCTTTTTGAAATGTATACGAAACCGATTTCCTGTAAATTTTTTTTTTCTCCTATATTAAATTTAATTTTCAGAGATTTTTTTTTAAAGCACAGAATGGACTTATATTCTTGACCTATGTTCGAGCGAATATGATATTAATGTGATTACTTAAAATAGTATACTTATGAGATCGCTGGTCAGTTTTAATTTTAAGTTTTTATTCATTTTTCATTTCATATTTTTTGAAATGTACATATTTAATTATTTTATAATCTTCATTAACATTATCAATATGTTAGTGTTTTAACAATTATCTCTCTTGAACATAACCAACTGATATGTTATCAAAATAATTTGACTACATAGATGGGAACATCTATTTAAGAAAAAAAAATAGACACACACTATAATATGAAGTGTTAAGAACAAAACAAAATCTTTAATATCCATATCTATTACAAATTTTATAGGTGATCCTAAAAAAAAAATATGGATCTTTACAAGTTATGATAAGGATGTGATTTTTTTTTTCATTGATAAATTACTATGAAGCGTTCAATTGATGGCCTTGATTCATAAATTAGATAAATCCTGAATAACAAATTTTAAGAATGAGTCACATGATATTACTCTTAGGTTAGGCGTATCTATCTTGGAGAATAAGTACTTAGTTTTTTTCGTGTGCCAAAAAAGGATAGAGTTTGCCAAAAATGAATAGGGTATATAGTAGTTTCCTAACTTAATTTTTGAAGTTATTTTAATTATGTTCTCTTCTTTTTTTTCCATACTTACTTTTTAAAAATGATTATAATTATTTTTCTGTTGCATAACTAATTAGCTTGCGCCTCCTGTATTAAAACTTAAAAAAAAGAATTACAAAACCATTATTCTTCCTAAAATTTTTTATGGATGTGAAACGTGGCTGCTTAATTTAAAATTAAAGGATGAGCAACATCTTGAGGTTTTTGAAAATAAAGTATTGTGTAGAATATAGACGGACCGAAGATGGATGAGTCAAGTGGAGAATTCAGATAGCTACTCAACAACGAATTGTATGAATTGTACCTGGTTAATATAATTAAGGTGATTACATTTCATTAGAGGAGTTAGTATAGCAGAGTGGTTGAATCGAATCCCTCAGACCTCTACTTTCCAGTATGGCTGGTCTCCGCGGGAAGTTAGACTTATTACTGTCTTGAGGAGACTAACCTCTTTTTTATCTCAAAGATAAGTATGAACATACCAGGTTTATGCATAAACAGAAAACAGAGTTTCTATTGGCTGATAATATTGGGCTATCTTTCATTATTTACCTCACTTGTTACATTTTTGCACGATTTTTTCACTAATCAAAACATTATCGTCCATAAAATACATTAAAAAAAATGTACTTATCTGGTCCAATTCTGACATCAAGGCCCTCAATTTTTAATCTCTCATTTACAGAATTTTTTAAAAAATCATATTTTATTTTCAATGTTATTAATAGAAATTTCACATCATATTGATTTTATTATATTTATTTTTTAAAAATTTAAATTAATTATTTTTTATACTCATTTTAAATTTAATTTATCAATTCAATTTTATACCCTTCCAAAATATACTTAAATATTTTATTCGCTTCTTCATTCTTGTGTTATTTATACTATATAAATGAGTGAGGATGTTGTTTTTTGTTAATTTTATATTTTATTTGAATGTTTTATTGCTTTCTCTTAATCTCATGAATGATAGGAAAATTATTTATTCAGTAAAAAATACTGCTTAAAAAGTTTTGAAAGTCATGCCTTTAAATAAATTGTGTATCTTGATTTCATGGTTTTTAACTAAGATTAAGCTATCATGAGGCACAATTATAAAAAAATAAATTCAAAACAGATTTCTGAAATGTTTATAGTTATTATATAATGTCCATTGAGAGTGATTTTATTTTATTATTTGTTTTGTTTTTCAATCAACTAATAACTATAGCTCGACCACAAAAATATGACAACTGGGAATTTATAATTATTATAGCTGTCCTTGATAAGGGTAGAAATTCTCTATCTCATACTTCTTAACAGAGTTGCATAAAGTAAAGGCAAGCATTCAAACTAATTTTTCTTTTCAATATTTTTTTTTATCTATCTTTGGTAAAGTAATTAATCTTGATCACTTATCGGAATGAGAACCTATTAATAAAACTCTGTCATTGAATTTTAATGTTAGCTGACTTAATAGGGAAATAATTTTTTATCAGTCTGGTATGGTATCGGTCCCTGGTGTCCGAAAACTTTTTATCAGATATAATGATTATTTACGCTTGAATCTTTACATCTATCCAACTTCCATTCAAATATTTTTTAAAATTACCACTTTAGAGACTTCGTAAGGTAGATGAAATTCGAAACAATCCCAGCCGGTTGGTAGTCGAGACGAATATCGGACTCTGGGGACCATAACCGCAGCTAACGTGTTAAAACATTTCTTAAATTGGATCTAATTTGTATTAAAATATATTGTTTATTTTTGAAACTTAAAATTTTTTTTTATGAAGGTTGATGCTCTTTTTTAATCTTTATAAATGAATAATGTGCAAAAAGAATTGAACAATGATCACAGCAAATCTTGAAAGATTTCTGTTATTACTAAGATGAAACATCGTTATCTTAGAAAATTTGTATTACAATTGTTTACAAACGTATCAAATTTAAATTTCATCGATTTTTTACCTTGAGCTGCTGTTGATGAATTTTAACAATTATTGTACAGCTTTCAATCAACTATTTAGGCTGTTAATTACGTTATTTTGATTTCTATAAATCCTCTTTGCAAAATTTTATATATATCGATTCTTTTTTTAATACAGTAAAATCTGACTTACCATTATGGTTGGTAGAACTAATTTTCCATAATATTGGAAATAAACATATGATTAAATATGACATAGATAATATTTTCTAATAATAGGTAAATAATTACACTATATAACAAGAAAGTACTGAAGGAAGTTTAAACTTTAAGCAGTTTATGATTTTTTTCTCAGTTAAAATAGAAGAACATAGTATAAATATATATTACTAATATGCTTAATCATTAAAAAAATATTCTAGTTCTCGAAATAATAAATTCCTAGTATAAATCACATTTAAAATTAATTCATTTTTTAGTATTACAATCAAAACAATTATTTATTAAATTTGATGGTTGCTTTAATAAAAAGTAAAATTATTTTATTGTTTATCGATGAAATACTAATAATTTAAACATAATGATTAATGGATATTTTATACGATTTTTAATTTGACTATAAATTTGATTGATGTTAATTACTTTTCCTGGACCATTGCTTCTCTTCTTTTAGTTTTATCTTATATTGAACTTTGAACTATATGTTTTTGTCAAACGATATTAATTAGAAATTCAAATATAGTGAAACCTCTTGCAACAGACATTTTTCTCCAACATTCCACCCTCCTTTAAGTAAAATTTTTGCTGCTTCATAAAAGCAATATGCCTCAGTTGTTTTTAGAGATGGGTAAAAAGTCGACTGATCATTTATGACGATGAAACAAAATTGTCAAGAATTGCAGTCATGATAATATTTATTGGGTTAGTCGATGTTTCAACCAGACATGTGGGTCATCATCAGGGCTATCATTCGGATGTCAAGACAAGAATTCATCCTTGAAGAACTCTGAGTTCTTGTCTCGACATCTGAGCTATAGCTCTTTTGGTGAACCATACGTTTGGGTTGAAAAGTCAGCTAACCTAATAATTATTATCCTGAAATTCCTGACAATTTTGTTTCATTCTCAGTTGTTTTTGTTCTTTAATCATTAAGAGTAGCACTGCATAACTTTCGATAAAAGAAATGGTATCTAAACATAGATAATTTAAAAAAAAAAAAGATATTAAAAAAATTAAATCATAATTTTTATTTAATTACACATTATATGTCCAGACAAAATTTTCAACAACAAAGTTCATTTGATGTGTGGGCCGATTCCGAACGAAAAAGGACTATTACATACTGTAATAGAGGGAATTGTTCAGTATCTCATCCTCTTTGTATGTTTCCCTATTAATGTTGCCCAAAATCGGTCTTGAAAGACCAAGACCAAGGCCGTCTAATTGTTGCAAGGCCAAGACAAGGATTGGTAACCTACAATCTCATTGTAACCTACAACTATTTTATTTACGAAAACTCTTGAAATTGGGGCGTTTTCTATCTGGAGGGGGCCAAACTTGGTCTATTTAATTAGGTACTAAAAAGTCGTAAATACCTATTTTCTTTCTACTTGGATCGTAACATAATTTGATCACAAAATCAATAAAAAAAGTATCCTTTAAAAATATTGAGCCCTTTGGCGTGACCTACACCCCCAAAATTTTAAA